CCGGGAAATCTTCGCCATCATGCAAAAATTCAACCTTCGGCTAAACCCGAAGAAGTGCACCTTCGGCGTCCAAGGGGGCAAATTCTTGGGCTACATGGTGAGCCGAAGGGGTATTGAGGCCAATCCCGAGAAGATCCAGGCCATCATCAACATGGAGCCCCCACGCAATGTGAAGGAAGTCCAACGGTTGACGGGCCGCCTGGCAGCCCTCAACCGCTTTCTATCTAAATCGGCGGAGAAGTCTCTACCCTTCTTCCAGATCATGAGGAAGACGGCTGGCTTTCTATGGACTCCAGAATGCCAGGGGGCTTTCGACGAGCTCAAACGATATCTATCTTCACCTCCTGTGCTCTCCAAACCCAAGGTAGGGGAGACCCTTTACCTCTACCTTGGGGTTAGCCCGGCGGCCATCAGCTCTGTGCTCATCCGGGAGGAAGACGTCATCCAACATGCCATCTTCTACGTTAGCAAGACCCTAAGGGAGGCCGAGCTCAGGTACTCCCCTGTGGAAAAAACGGTGTTAGCCATTGTTTGGACTGTCAAAAAGTTGGGCCACTACTTTCAGGCTCACCCGGTTCAGGTCCTCACTCATCAACCCCTCGGCGCCCTCATGAGGAGCCCCACAAGCTCCTCCCGCATGGTGAAATGGGCTATCTTCTTGAGCCAGTACAACATTGACATCCGCCCAAGGCCTTCCATCAAGGGCCAAGCCCTGGCGGACTTTGTGACGGAGTGTACCGCAAGGGCAGCCACGGACGGGGAGCCCTCGGCTACCTCGGACGACTGTTGGACCCTCTACACTGACGGCTCCTCCGCGACCAAAGCATGCGGGGGAGGGGTAGTCCTCATTACTCCCGAGGGCTTCAGGGCCTACTATGCAATCCGCTTCTCCTTCAAGGTCTCCAACAATGAGGCCGAATACGAGGCCCTCCTATGTGGCCTTCGGCTGGCTGCCAACATGAGGGCTCGGCAGATCCACATCAAATGCGACTCCAAGTTGGTCGTTGGCCAAATCTCCGAAGAATATGAGGCCAAGGAGGGGAGAATGAAACAGTACAAGGAAGCGGCCAAGGAGTTGCTTAAGGTATTTGAGGCACACTCTCTCACTCAAATACCGAGGGCTCAGAACTCCGAGGCCGACATATTATCTAAGCTCTCGGCCGACTCCCCCGAGCACATCTCCAAAATTGCCAAAATCGAGGAACTCAGCCTCTCAAGCATCCATGCAAGCCCCGTTATGAACATACAACGACGTCAGGAGGATTGGATCTCAGATATCACCGCCTTCATCTCCACAGGGCAGCTACCCGAGAATGAGGCCCGCGCTAAACTGGCAAAGCTGAGGGCTCCTAGCTACACCATCGAAGATGGAAGGCTCTACAAACGATCTTACAATGGCACGCTACTTTGGTGCCTTCATCCAGATGAAGCCGAGGTCGCAATGGAGGAAGTGCACAGTGGCACTTGCTCAGCTCACCAAGGACCCTTCTCCATGTCCCGAATTCTCATTCTCCAGGGCTACTCCTGGCCAACCATGGCCAGGGATTGTGCTGACCTTGCCCGGAGGTGCACCGCATGTCAACATTTCCAGAAGGCTCCCGGCAGGCCAGCGGTCAACTATGCCCCCATCAGCACCTCTGTCCCCTTTTCTCGATGGGGAATAGACCTTGTGGGCCCTCTGCCGAGGGGCACCTCCAACAACAGATACATCATCGTGGCCGTCGACTACTTTACCAAGTGGGTGGAAGCTGAACCCCTCGCCAGCATCACGGAGGCGAAGTGCCGTCACTTCGTCCTCAAGAACATCCTCACAAGGTTTGGCGTCCCCCAGCAGATCATCTCCGACAATGGGACACAATTTGAGGCAGCCCCCTTTTGTGCCCTTCTGGAGGCATGGGGCATCAAACACACCTTCTCCTCCGTTGCCTACCCTCAAGGCAACAGGCAAGTAGAGAATGCCAACCGGACCTTGCTCGAGGGCCTCAAAAAGAAGCTAGAGGCCGAGGGCGGTGGCTGGGTGGAAGAACTCCACAACATCCTTTGGGCCTATCGCACCACCCCTCGGCGAGCAACAGGTGAAACACCCTTCTCCCTCTGCTACGGTTTTGAAGCCAAGACTCCTACGGAAGTCACCCTTCCCACCCGAAGGGTAATCCAATATGACCCCGAGGTCAACGACAGCAACATGGCCCTCGACCTCCACCTCATTTCAGAACGCCAGGAGCAGGCCTTCATCCGGGCAGAAAACTACCGAAGGCAAGTTAAAAGCTACATCGACGCCAAAGTTCGCACCCGAGAATTTCAAGTGGGGGACTATGTCCTCCGGAGGAGGGAAGCCAGCCAACCAACCGAGGGAGGAAAAATGGCACCAAAATTCGAAGGCCCCTACATCATAGCAGCCATCATCAAACCCGGGACCTACAAGCTCAAACGCCCCAATGGGAAAGAAGTCCCTAGGCACTGGAATGTACACCATTTAGTTAAATTTTATCAATAATGTAAGAGCGGCCAAGCCCTCATAACTAGTGAATATACTATCCTATGGCCCAAGGCCTCCAATTTCGAAGAATGAAGATACATTCAAGACATCAAGCCCTCATACTGACTACAGGCCCCAGGCCTCACCACGAGAAGAACCCCCTCCGGCACCAAGTGCCGAGGGCGGACACCATCAACACCTACAACAAACAGTGAAAACGCCACGTGTTTTCAGTCAAGACCCCTCGGCACCCAGTGCCGAGGGAGGGAACTCCTATCACCAACAACAAGGAACGCCATGTGTTTCATTTCCCTTCGGCACCCAGTGCCGAGGGTACATTCCCACCTTCAACATCAAAAAAGAAAAGATGAGAACACCAAGTGTTCCTACAGAAGACCCTTCGGCACCCAGTGCCGAGGGTACATCTCCATCATCAAAATGTTTCAAAGAAGACTCCTCGGTACCCAGTGCCAGGGATATGCTCTCCTATCAACTTCCAAACATCTGTTGGGAAACACCAAGTGTTTCATTTGGAGACCCTTCAGTACCAAGTACCGAGGGTAGACACCTCCATCAACTACGACAAAAGAGAACACCAAGTGTTCCTACAAAAGACCCCTCGGTACCAAGTACCGGGGGCTACACATCGAAACTAACACCAAGTGTTGTTTCTAAAAAGCCGTACCCCACGAGGACGCATATACCGAAGGCGCCACCATCGGTGCCGGCGGCACGTAGTGCCCCCGGCCATTTGCAACTAGTGTGCAAATGAAAACCCTTCCTTGAAACGCTTTCCGCGTCACTACCCCCAGGGTATGACAGGCATGAGAAATGCCCAGGATTCGACTTTCAAAAACGGAACGCTATCCGCGTCACTACCCCCAGGGTATGACAGGCATGAGAAATGCCCAGGATTCGACTTCCAACCCGAAACGCTCCCCGCGCCACCACCCCAAGGGTGTGGCAGGCCACGGACTATGTCTAGCGCCGAGGGGACGACTTTCAAAAATGAGGCGCTTTCCGCGCCATCCCCCAAGGGGAGGCAGGTTACGGACCACCATATCTTGTGCCCAGGAAACGTCCCTCGATCCCCTCGGAACTCGGAAGGTTAACTCGAGGGAGGAGAGCCATTAGTGTATTCTGATGGTCTCCTAATAGGCCCAGCCTTACCAAGAAACCAAGTTTCTTGATGCCTTCCCTTCACCACCAACCAAAAAAAAGGGGGTGAAGGGGAGTAGACTCAGCGAGAAATCAAAGAGTACACTCCAACAGATCACAACAAGCCGAGGGCTCCCCACGGGAACACCTCCGGTAACAGAAGGCACCTATCACCCGAAGGCTACACAGGGAAGCAGCACTTGAAAAAATTCTAAGTCCTAAAGATTGGGCCCCCGACCCAATCAATATTACAGCCAAAGGAATATGGTGGCCGAAGGCCATGCAGTACAACAACACTTAAAAAAAAGTATTATGTCCTAAATGAGTAGCCCCCGGGCATCTCGCAAAGTGATGTGGAGTCAGAGGGCACCTATCACCCGAAGGCTCCCAAGGGAAAATCTACACTCAGAAGATTTTCTAAGTCCTACATATTCCCCCCCCCCCCCCCCCCCGGTCAACCACTCATACATCAAGGAGGGATGCCATCTCCCGAAGGCTCCCAAAGGAGATTTTGCACTTAGAATATTTTCTAAGTCCTACATATTCCCCCCCCCCCCCCGGTCAACCACTCATACATCAAGGAGGGATGCCATCTCCCGAAGGCTCCCAAAGGAGATTTTGCACTTAGAATATTTTCTAAGTCCTACATGCTTTTCCCCGGTCAACTACTCATACATCAAGGAGGGATGCCATCTCCCGAAGGCTCCCAAGGGAGATTTTACACTTAGAATATTTTCTAAGTCCTGCATGTTTTTCCCACCGGTCAGCTACTCATACATCATGGAGGGATGCCACCTCCCGAAGGCTCCCAAGGGAAACTCTACACTTAGAAGATTTTCTAAGTCCTACATATTTCACCCTCATCTCAAGGAACCTAATTGCCGAAGGCTACCCATCAATCGAGGGCTACAGTACACAAGGAATCAACGCTCAAAAAAATTTTCTAAGTCCTAAAGAATTGGCCCCCGGCCTATTCAATATTTCAGTTGGGGCCCCACAGTAGTCGAAGGCTACATGACATACTACACTTGCAAAAAATCTCTAAGTCCTGTGCATTGGGCCCTCGGTCCAACATTCACACATCAGGAAGGGATGCCATGTCCCGAAGGCTCTCAAGGGGAAATCTACACTTAGAAATTTTTCTAAGTCCTAGGATTTGGGTTACTACAAACGGCCGAAGGCCTCATGCTGTGCTACACTTAGAAAAAATTTTCTAAGTCCTAATTGCTGCTGAACCCTCGGTTGCATATCCATCAGAGGGCGCCCAGCTACCGAAGGCTTCAGGGGGCAAGCCACAGTCAGAAAACATTCTAAGTCCTAAAACATACATTCAAGAAGTAGAAGGCATACATTCAAAACATAAGGCGCACTCAAATGTAAAGAGCCCGGAGGCAGCATGCATTCATCAAAAAACAAAGTAAGTGTGAAATTTACAAACAGGCCGAAGCCGAAGGATCAATGATGTTCAAGGATTTCTAAGTACAAAGTCACTCTACAACTACAACAGCATCATTCACCGGGGTGCCCTCTGCAGCCGGCCTCGATGATGCCTCCGCTCCGGCCTCGACAGCGTCATCCTCGGCCTCATTCTTCAACTCCGTATCCTCAAGGTCGGGCCTCTGAACACCTTCCGGGAGCGACTCACGGACATCAGGCTGCAGGGGAGGAAGGCCATAAGCCGAGGGGGAGAAATCCTTCTGCTCAATGCCCAAATGCCGAGCCATCCTCCGGTAAATGAGGGCCTGGGTGAAGAATTCGCCGGCCTCATAATATTCTCTGCCCTTCCGGGCCATCCATTCCCACCCGGGGCCCTCGGCCCATTCCTCGACGTATGCCTCCACGACCGAGGACAGCCACACCTTGCGTCCCTCGGCCCTCCAGCCCTCGGCGACGAAGGCATCAACGGCTTCCTCCCGAGCCTTGGCGACGGCTAGCGCCTTGGAGTCCTCGGCCTCTTTGGCAGCTCTCCTGGCCTCCTCAGCAGCGGCCTCAGCATCGGCCTTGCCCTTCTCTGCGGCTTCCAATCTCAGCTCCATTTGCCGAAGCTCCTCTTCCAGCCTGGCCCCCAGCTTCACCGCCTCCTTATTTTTGAGGATGCATTCCTTCATCTTGGCGTCCTGCTCTGCTTTATGGAGGCGCCATTCTTGAAGCCTCCGCGCATGTTCACCGAGGGCTAGACAAGCCTGCAGACCAACAACCAAAATGGTTAAAGGCAATTGCACAATATAATCAAAGGAGAAAAGGAAGAAAGCTGAGTAAACACTTACAGAAAGGGAGGAGCGGAGAATGTGGTCCTCGAGGGCCGCATCGTTATATGCCCCGAGGGAAGCCCTATCAGTCTCAGGGGTTATGCCCCTCAAGATGGCCCCCGGGTCGACAGCGCCGCTGGCCAGGGATGTTCCCCTCGGGAACGAAACTTGGAGGACCTCAGGCAGCAACTCCTCTGCCCCCGCCGGCGTTTTGCCCGACGGCTTCTCCACATGCACCCCGGAGGCGGGGTGCTCATCAGCAATAATGACCGGGGGCTCCTTCTTGGCGACATCCCCCTTCTTCTGCTTTTTGGTAGCCGGGGGGGGGGGGGACCCCTTGGTCGCCGACTTCCTCTTGCCGGCAGCAGCATCGCCCTCGGCTTTCTTAAAGAGGGCAGTGGCGGGCTTCTGGCTGCCCTGTCCCGACCCCTTCGGGTCCTGCTTCTTCAGGCGAGCGAGGCCCTTCACGTTCACCATGGAGACGGGGATACCTGCAAAAAGGAGACGAAGGGTTAGTCCGACGGGTCTAAGCGAAGGGACAATGAAATCCAAGCAAAAATAAAACTAGGTACAGAATTCTAAAGCCCTCGGCTCCTACCTCCGGCTCCTCCGAAGGCCTTGTTGAAGGGAGGGTACTTCTCATCGGTCTCCCCTATGAAGCGGTACCTCCGGAACCCGAGGGTGTATAAATCCTCCTCGAGGGTGCAGTCTTTGATCGCCACGTTCTTATTTTTCCCCTCCGGGAACTTGGCCAGCTTTAGGCCGTCTTTCTCGAGAGCAGCACTCCTGATTTTTTCGTGCCTTCGGAATCGATCACGCAGCTCCCTCGGGAATGGGCTATCACCCAACTTTACGTAGCACCAACGTTCCCTCCATCCTTTGTTGGAAGAAGGAGCATCGGAGAATAGCTTGAAGCGGGCAATCTGCTGCAGGTTTGCGTACCCCTCGCCGTTTTCGTGCCCCCCCCCCCCCCCCGGCACAAATTAAAGCTCTGGAAGAATAGATCCAGGCTGGGCTTCACCCCTCGGGACTTACAGAGCTGGAGGAACCCCGCAATGTAGGACTGGCTGTTGGGCGTGAGTTGGCAGGGGACCAAACCAACAAACCTCAAATACTCCCGGAGGAACGGGTGCAGAGGGAACCTAAGTCCCATGGAAACCGAGAGGACGTGAACAGCGATACACCCCTCGGGCACCCTGGACAACACGTCGTCGGGACCTGGCTCCACCACTTCGGCCGAGGGCCCCACGTGCAGCTGAGTCACGTACAGATCTGCCCTATCAGCCTTCGACCTGATCTGGAGGGCCTCAGTGTTCAGCCAACTGTACCCCTCGGGCATGTCCACGGGCTTTCCTTGATCGACGGCCCTCTCCTTCTTCTTGGTAGCGGCCTTCTTCTTCTTCAAACCGGAAACCGCCCTCAGAGGTATCGGATCCAGCGGCCTCGAGCTACTGGCTTCCCCAGAACCCCGAGGGGGGAGAACAGCTATCGTAACCTTCGAGCTCTCATTCTGCGCCTCATCCTCCGCTGTTTGCCATGTGAGGGCTAAGTCTTCATCCTCGCACTCCTGCTCGAAGCCCTCGGCTTCGACCTCCGCAATGAGTTCCTTCTGGACCTCCCGGGCCAGGGCCGCATCACCACCATCCGAGGGCTGACCACTGCTTGACTCCACATCGGAGATGCCTTCGTCCTCCATCGAGGGCGTCCTCGAGATATCTTGAGAATCACTCTGGGACGACATTCGCACTCTAGTTCGAGGGCTCGTAGACGGTAGTGTTTCCTAACTTTTCTATCTCCTAACCTAAGGGCACAGTACCGCTATACTAGAAGGAGAAAGGCAGGGAGCACTGACCTCGAAAGCTGCGTTAGGACCGAAGGCTGGAGTTTCTCTCACTAGATTTTTTGGCAGAGCTTCGCTAAGACAACTGAGTTCGCACAGCGGGAATGGCTCTGGCCTTGGGGTATTTATAGGCGCTGGAATCCGGGCTTGGGCCCGGAAACCGGGCCTCCAGACGGACCGTCATCATTACACACCGTCGTTTCACCCAGTCGGTGACGCCGCCCACGAACAGCCAGCCATCACACGCCACGTGTGCCACCCCCCCAACGGCTATATCCTGTCGTTACATATTCCAACGGCTATATTTCCAACGGCTATATTCCGGAAGCCCCCGGGTTTTCTACTTCACTCCACTTCATCAAGGGTAGCCCCCGGGTACACTCACTCAGAAGTGTGCCCAGGTTGTGCCCCAGACAGCACATAACAGACGCCTTCGGGATCACTCCTTCAGAAACCCAGGGCTTCATATCAGGGCACCCCTCGGGGATTCCCCCTCAGCACTGCAAAACCGGGTATCCCCCGGGGAAGTTGCCTCATTGACGGATGACCCATGGCACACGGGTAATGGGAGCCCTCGGGTATCTTCATCACCAACTAATCAACAAACAGTGGACCCCCCGGTAACAACTTCACTGCTGCCCTCATCTGGCAGGCCCTCGATCCCTGGATTGAGGGGCTCCCCTTCGGCGCCACCAGGACATCAACAGCAAGCCTTCGGCTAATCAACACAGGAGCCCTCAGAAGAGAGAGCCTTCGGCATTCCCGCCATTCTCCATTTTTTACCAAGGTTTGACATTTTCGATTCATCATTGGGGGAATTCGGTGCACTCTTTTTCCCTCATTAGGATTTTTTTCCCAAAGGGTTTTTCCTAATGAGGTTTTTAACGAGGCATCCCCCCAAAATGAAACGAAAAGCGTCAGCCTTCGGCCCACAACAGCAACATAACTACTTTACTCATTTTCACCACTTTACAAGTGCCTCAAGGAGTGGGGGACTGGAGGACCCCCTCGGGAAAATCATTAAATCACAAAATCTGTGAAATTCCAACAAACAACAAAGCAAGCCCTCAAGTCCCGACATGTGGGTAACTGAGGGACTGCCTTCGGCAGGGACATAAAAGCAACAACTCCTCACCAACTTCAGAAATCACGATGGGACAACATCAAAGGGGAAAGCACAAGTTACTCCTTTTCCCTCAAGTACCTTTCGGCAAAAGGAGTGAGGGACTCCTGATGGAGTATATGGCCCGGGAACCCCCGGCCCACAGACTCCTACTACTCCAGCGAAGGCCCAACAGACCCAGAAGGCCCAACAGGCCCAAATCACAGTGCCCAGAGTACCAGGCAGTCCGCACTACGCGCCAGGGGTGCCTTCGCCCCCCTGGCCGAAGGCTCCAAATTCTCACAGAACGGGTTTCTCAAGCAAATTAAGAAACTGGGAGAAAACGGTGAAAACAGTAGCCCTCGGCATTGTGAGCCCTCGGCACCAGGGTGCCATCGGGTGGAAGAGCCCTCGGCTGCTGCTCTATAGCCGAAGGCATCTCACTCGACAAGATATCCGCCTCACATGCGTACAGATCACCGTACCCCGCACAGACGTCCCATCCAACAGCCGCATTAAATGCGGCCACATGCGGCTGCCAGCGCCAACTAGTTGAGGTGACCCCTCGGCCAATAAGCGCTTGACACGTGTCCCTGCCCGGCATTTATTGCTACTATAAATAGCACCCCATTTCCCCATTTGTAACCACGCTGAAAACGGCATTCATACTGAATACACTCTCTCTCTACTTTTACTTACTTGCTCTGACTTCTCTCTAAGTTATTCCCCGTAATAACCCTTCGAATATATACCCCCGGGTAGACTATCCATCAGAAGTGATCAGCTTTTTCTGAGATAAGTTGTTGGTCTTTTTGATTGGTTGCCAACCAAGTCTTTGATTTGATTGGTTATTTAGGAAGTTGAAATTGTAGGGAAGTTTGGATTTTGGTCTGGAGGAGGACTGAGTCCTTTTCTTTGACAGAGTTTGGGAGTGAGGTTGTTGGTGGTTAGAATTCTTTGTGTTTGGTAGATCTGTGGTGGGTTTTGTGATAGGAGAGTATTTGGAAGAGTCTTCAAATGTCTTGGATAAGGATGTGAATCCCAATCCTGTGTTCTTCCAGTTGTGATGGATTTCCTCACTAATAGGGGTAGTGAGGGAGCTCAACCTTTCTTTTAAACTGAAGTTTTCGAGTTCAAGAAAATCATTTCTCTTTATCACTTCACCCATTTGAGCTTGGGTTACTATTAGATTAACTTGAAGTCTACAGTTTTCGATCATTAAAAGAAGGTGATCCTTTTGAAAGTTTTAAAATTGAAGGAGTAGAGCTTCCATGTCAACACTGGAACAGCTAGAGTGAAATGAGCTGTTTGAAGAACTAGATAATACCTCATCATTATCATTGCTTGTAGTTCCGGCCATAGAGCAGTCATTGGAAAAGTTTTCAACATGGTGCATTCCATAGAGACAAATCAGAGTCTCTTCTTTATCTCCTGATGAACTGCTTTCATCACTTGAGCCTTTTTGATCATCAACTGATTGAATCATTGAGAGCTCATCCCAGACATCCTTGGTTCTCCAGTCATCATACGTGTTTTGGTTAGGCAAAGAATCTGTTGCCAACCGTTTGTCCATTTCAGAAAGTGTTTGGGGAGTTGAGTGGTTTGGATCTTTAGTTCGAATTAGTCAGAAACTGACTCTAGGAACACTCCACTCTGATACCACTTGATGGTCCCGGATAGGGTAAAAGTCTAGAGGGGGGGGGGGGGGGGTGAATAGACTTTTAAATCTTTTTGACCTTTACAAAGATTTCCCTCTAGAGGAGTTGATCTATAATCTTTTGAGAGATTAATAGATGCACAGCGGAAGTCTTTACCCTTTATATAATGGATGTTTTTACCACTTTCTGATTTTGGGAAGATTGGACTTAGATAGCTTAGCAGTTGGCTAGGTAGTAGGGAACCGCTGAGGCAACTGCTAGACAAATAAAAATGATGATGGAATATTGTTTAGGATGAAGAGGGCAGTGGAACAATATCCTTTAGTTGAAAGGAAGCTACAGCTGTATTTCAGCAGTGGTCTCAGCAGTTGGGTGGTACTGAGTGAACTGCTGAGTCACCTGCTGGTATTATAAACTGGGACTCGTAGCTTGGTTCAGACTGCCTTCTTACTAGAGATGTTATGAGACTGTGATGATACTTGAGATGTTCACGTGAAGTAAGTTTGTATGAGCAGATGGCTCAGCAGTTGGGTGGTCACCAGGGGACTGCCGAGGTCTCTGCTATACTTGAAGAGTGAATTCCTGGAATCTGATAGAGCGACTCTTCTAGTGATTACGTGACCTTGTATAGTGTGATGAGGGCTTCCTGATTGGATACTGAGCTTGAGAATTTAAGGTGTTTTTGCCTGAGCAGAGGTCTCAGCAGTTGAGTGAAACCAGGGAACTGCTGAGCCACCTGGTTCAGTAAGAGAAGCGATTTCTGGCAAAGTGTACCTTTAGACATTGATGTTGCGAAGCTCTTGTGAAAAGGTTATCTCAAGAAAAGGTGAGTAATTAAGCAGTAGGATAAGCAGTTGGGTCAGTTAAGACAACTGCTTAAAATGCTGCTGGCAAACTACAATTTCTTATACGAGAAATGTTGGGTGTGTGCTTTGTTGACTAAGGAAATCAACACACGATATATCCTGGTTCAGAGGTGGTGTAATCCTCCTACATCCAGTCCCATCCTATTTCAAATGAATTTCACTAATGTATTAAGCCTAATACACTTAGTGCCAATCTAGCCTTGACAACTCTGGCCTAGATTGAAGGTGTTTCACGAGGAGTACAACACCACTCCAAGCTACTCAATCCTTTAGGTTTTTCACAATTGATCTAGTGGGATCAAAAGGTACTCCTAACCTATCTAACTACACTCAGGTCGGGAACAACTGTCCTCCTGAAGTGTTTACAACAATTTCTGATTGTGGTTACAAGAAAGTTCTAACCTCCCAATAGGAACTAAACTTCTAGGATTTTGGCAATTAATACTTGATACTGAGAAGTTTAGTGAAGCAAGAGTCTAAGCAGAGAGTCGTGGATAGAATAGCACTTCTTGCTCAGTGAAATATCTCTCTACTTAGAATGCTCAGGTTTGGTTAGAAACTTTCGTCTCAGCCTCTATTTATAGGCATTTGGCTGATCAATCTTATCCGTTGGTTAGGATAGTTTGATCTCTACCGTTGAACTTCTGGCGAGTACGAGCAGTACTTTTGTCTCTTGTGCTGCAGTATTTATGGAGGATGTTTCTGTCTCCAATAATCGCCGGGCATCTGTTGAGGGTGTGCGTCCCACGCGTGTAGGTCCATGTACCTGTTTTAGCATTTAAGGCAGGTATAGTTTTGTCTTCCAATCATACACATTCAGTGTATGATTTTTCGGGCCTTTCTCTTATTATGACCAAGAAAATTTGTGTACAGATAAAATATTCCGGTAGGATCTTAAAATATCCTATTAAGGTAAATAAATATTACCTTATTGCATTTTTACTTTTCCGGTAATATTTTATTTGTATCAGCAATTTGTACATTTATGTGTCACTTTAGGATACAAATCAACTTCTAATGCCCACCATTTGTCTTTTCCTTTTTGTGACGAATTTAATTTGTGATAAAGTAAATATATACCGGTAGGATTTAAATATCATTTTTAAGGTAAGAATTACCTTATTGCATTTTGACTTTGCCGGTATAATTTACTTAACACAAATATTTTTCTTTTGACTTTTGGTCACTCTTGGTTGTGTATAGCCCATCCCTTATTTCGAACATAAATCAAGTATTTAACTGGTAGGATAACAAATCCTATTAAGGTAAAAATATTACCTTATTGCATTTTGTATTCCAGTTTTAATAAATAGTTTATTTGTTCGAAATGTTTGATGTAACAAATAAATTTAACTGGTTGGATTTATGAGAAATCCTTTTTAAGATAATAGAATATTACCTTATTGCTTTTTATGTTTTTCCAGTTATATCTATTTGTTAATTTGATAGTTCGGATAGGACACTTTTTGGATAACATTTCACTAGCATTTGGTTGGAGCAAAATACAACACTTTAATTTCCTAATGCTACAAAAGAAGGGGGGAAGGACATGTGAAGAGCCTTTGGCATCATCAAAAACTTTTCATCAAAATCTAGGGGACTAACAAAAGTTGTAACACCTTTGAAAAGAATTTGTGCTGCAAATCCAAAGAGTGGGTAGAATAGGACATGAGTACCTTTTGAATCATACTGATTCATTAGTGAAAAACCTAGAGGCTAGAGTAACTTGGAGTGGTGTGTACTCCTAGTGAAAACCTGATAGTTTACGCATGTGATCAAGGGTAAACTAGTCGCTAAGTGTATTGGTCAAATAGCTTAGTGGAAATCCATCTATAGGGTGGGACTGGATGTCGGAGGATTACACCACCTCCGAACCAGGATACATTTGTGCGTCATAACGTTCAAAGCCATTAACCATCAAACCAAAAGCCTCAGAAAATTTCCAGAAAACAGTTCCTACTCAAAAGTCAGTCTTTACCAAACTTCTGGTGTGTTTGTCCAAAAAGATAAAAACTTCCGCTGCCAATCCTAAATCTCTCAAAAGGTTCCCAGGATTATACTCATTCAGAGGGGAGTGAACACCTAATTCAAAAAGATTATGAAGGTGAATGCACAAAGAGCTGTAACTCAAGATGCAGATGAGTATATTCTAAAGCCCAAACTTGAGTGGATGAGTGAAGACATAAAAAGGAATAACTTGGAAAATATTGCCAAGGATATTCTTTTTAAAGCTGTGAGTGAATCCATATTTCCTCGAATAAGGAAGTGTGAAACAGCAAAAGATGCTTAGGTTGAACTTACCAAAATTGGTGCAGGCGATGAACAAGAAAAAGACAACAAACTGACTATAGCCCTCAAAAGGTTTGAGGATTTCAAGATGCTACCTCAGGAAACAATGTTGAATCTGGAATCAAGGTTTCTAAAACTCACTGCTGAAATTTCTGACTTGGGAAAGACCCTTACACAAAAAGAGATCTCTCTCAAGGTTCTAAGAGGACTCCCGAGCAAGTGGGACATGAAAGTAACTGCTATGAGAGATAGCAGAGACCTAAGCACCATGACAACATCAAAGCTATTCAACGATCTAAAGGCATATCAGTTCGAGATGAAGGAACTCAAGGAGGACAAAGAAGAACCTAGAACACTGGCTCTAGTAACAGAACCACATAAGTCAAAGAAAGCTGAAAATATTCAGAACAATCTTCTCTCTGAAGAACATTTTGCCATATTTGTAAGAAAATTCAAAAGGTTTATAAAAAAGGATGAACCAAGCTCCTCACGAAAGACTCACTATCCAACAAGAAAAGAAGGAAAAAACATGAGTAAGGATTCTATGCTTTGCTACAATTGTAGATAACCTGGACACTTCAAAAGTGAATGTCCATTCCCACTGGTTACAAAATACCAAGGACAGCCAACTTCAAAAATCAACCAGCAAAACTTCAAAAGCAGAAGGCAAGCTTTTGTAAGTGAAAAGAAGGAATGCCGGAATGAAGATGAAGAAAGCTCAGATGAGGACACAAGCTCTGACAGTTCAGAGGAAGCTCTATTCTGCCTAATGGCCCATAATCAAAAGCCAGCAACAACCTACAGCAAGGAAATCTCTCACAACTGCCTTATGGCCAAATCCGATGATGATGAGGTAATTTCCCACTCTTCCCATTTCTCAGACATTTCTGATTGCTCAAGCACAGATCTTGAATCTCTGCTTGTTGAATTTGAAAACATTCAAAGATCACAATTTATTTTAAGGTCTGAAAATGAAAAACTTCAAGAGAATGTAAAAGTAGCCCAAACTCAACTGGGTGAAGTTATAATACAAAATGATCTCTTGAAAATGGAAAATTTTCATCTTACAGAAAAACTAAACATTATGAGAAACCCTCCCACTGAAGAAGCCGGAAGAAACTGGAACTTGGCAGGATTAGGATACAAAATGCTGTTTAAACAAATGAATAATCATTCATCCAGCCATCCATTGAAAACAACAAAAGAAACCTATCAAAAAACCCTTTCTCCAAGAAATACCAAATACCAGCCAGTCTACAAAAGAGAAGCCAAACCCCATCAAAGAAATTACTCTCAAC